GTCCTTTCAAGTTTTTGAGAGGATCTTTCATTTGGTAACCAAAAATTAAACCGACTTAGTAAACTTATAATGTAAAATATCATGTAAATGTTGTGATTTGAGATTTCTTGAAACTTTTATTTTCAATCTGGTGGTTGGTTCGTAATCAGTCATCTATAATTTTTACATGATATGTCATACAACGTTTTTAAAAAGAAATCCGAGAAAAATCGAATCATTAAGTTTTTGGTTAGACTCTATATAATTGTACTAATTCATCAATTTTTTTTTTTAAAAAGAATTGAAGAAAGAGTGTTTCTTAAGGTTATGGTAGAGAATGTGGGGAATGTGAATTATGAATCTTGACTTGCAAATGAATAGAAAAAATGGTTTGAATCATGAACGGTTTGGGGTGAGTGATATCATTTTCATGTCTTGTTGTGAATCTATACGTGATCATTGTGACGTATTATTACTATCTATAGATTTCACCAATATTTATTCTATGAATTGAGAGATGATTAGCCAAAAGTTTATATCAGAGAGGGAGAGAGAGCATTTATATGAGTACATTTGAAACATTATACTAGTTTATCTTTAACAAACAAAAAACATTATACTAGTTTATTTAACAGAAATTTTTGTAAGTGATAGGGACAAAAAATAAGAGATCTAAAGAAGAAAATGGGTTTGAAGATAAGTGATAGGAAGGTAGGCGACACCATTGCTTTTGATCTAAGTGTTTGGTCCCTATACTTTTTTTTTCTTGTATATTTTTATAATTATATATTTATACATTATCTTTATTGGATGAAATAATTGAAGAGAATCAATACTATTTTGGAAAATTCTTCATTCTGTAAATTATTGGAAGATTCTTTATCTTGAAGACAATGACACACCAAGTGCTTTTTTCACCATTCTATTTTTGTTTTTTACTCGTAACATAATGATCTCCCACCAAGAAATTTAGGTGATTTTATAAAACTATATTTTTTCCCCAAAAGATCATTTTCCTCTAAATTCTTGGTAATAGTACTTATTAGTAGTCTTGAAGCGTCTTCAATGATTTTTTTCACCAATTCCCAATGCAAGACAAAGTTCAGAATCATTAACAAGTTAACTTTGTCTTGTGGGAGAGAGGTGAAGGCAGTGAACTCCTGCCTTGGCACACTTCCCATTCTTCTCATCCCACAAGAACATGTATAATCTAATTATGATCCAAATTTCATATTTCCAATTCTTGATTTCTCTGATTTTTTGTCTTGTTATGGTTGAAAAAATGTTAGTGGTTCTCACGTTGATTTGAATTTTTGAAGCTTGATGAGAGCTTTACGCCTAGTGAAATCTCTATTCGATCGGCCGATAGTTTCCATAACTTGAATGTAAGTTCTTATACTCAATACGAGTAGAGAAATTATTCGTCTTCTTGACCTTAAATTTGTGATGAAGTTTTCTTTAATTGTACTACGTTAGATCAAAAGGTTAGTTAGTGCCCGATTTTCGTTTGTTTCCATATCGAACAATAATTTCTCGCTGAGGTATCCATTTATGAGAAGCTGGTAATGAGTTTCGATGAGAAGAGTAACTACAAGATTGTTTATAAAGTTATGTAATTCAATAATACATGTGTATACATAGTGTCTCTAGTTAATTCATTCACTCGATGACATGTGTTTTTTATTGGCTTGTAAGGATATGACTTTAACCAATGCGTCCTTTTAGTAGGGAAGCCTTAATTTGTCAATACATTCAAATTGCAAATAACCATTTTGACCGAATCACGAAAACGGAAGGACACTCGCATTTACCATATCAAAGTATTCGGCCCTAGATTGCGCGTCTCTCATCTCTAAATGACCGACTTATAAACCGAGTAGATATATACACTTAAAGATTCAAAACCGTCGTGGAAGCACATTCCGCGACAACCATTTCGAAAGAATTTCTCACTTATTTGACAATGAAATGAAGATATTTGAGGAAGAGAGTCACATTAGCTTTTGAAGCTTTGAGTGTAATCAAGATAATCTTGTTGTGACTCTAAAAGTGTCAAAGGATAATAATATAACGTTAAAAGTGAACCGGCCGGTTCAGCTATCTCGAGATTACCGGTTTGATTAATTAAACCGAAAAAACCAATTTTCAGGAACACTCTGTTTCACTAAGCGGATTCGACTTGTCTGGCTCAGACGTCGCCACAAGTCTCCTGCAAGTTCACACATAACACTCGGTGCTCTTGAAGCTTTTGGCATCGTTTAGCTTTCAATTCTGAAACATCTGTTTAGATTTTCTGAGGTTGTTCTCTGTAAAATCGATCGATGTCTGCTTCATGTGGTGTAACACCTTCTCTTAGGACAGAATTATTCACCTCATCATCTAAAAGTTCAATCTTTCCTGCTCAAATTTGTCGACCCAGTAAGATTCTACAACAACATTCATCAAAATTTTCCTTAGATTAAGCCTAAAGTATAACACTTTTTTGTTGTTGTAATGAAGGAAACAAATGTGAAATCAGTAGAAGGGATTTTGCAGTGAGAGGAGGGATTGTTGCTTCTGGTGTTTCAGTCATGGGTACTCCTTCTTCACCATCAGCTGCTTCTCAATCTCTTCAAGGTTTGACCTTTAAAAACCCTAGCTTTAGATTGTGGCTTGATTCTCTCTAGTCTCTTTGGTTAAAATGTCTAAAAGCAATTAGATGATTCTTTAGGTAGTGAGAGGTTGGCTTTTAAGCCTGAAGGTTATAACTTTTGGGAATGGAGAGGTCACAAGATTCATTATGTTGTTCAAGGAGAAGGCTTACCTCTTGTTCTTATTCATGGATTTGGTGCTTCTGTTTTTCATTGGAGGTACACTCAATTGCATGATTCATTTGAGTTATAGAGTTTAAGACAACTGTGGTAAAGCATAATTCATTGAGTAAAAAGTGGTGAATTTATAGGTATAACATTCCTGAATTGGCTAAGAAGTACAAGGTTTATGCGTTGGACTTGCTCGGTTTCGGATGGAGTGACAAAGCTCTCATTGAGTATGATGCTATGGTTTGGACAGATCAAGTTATTGATTTCATAAAGGAGGTAGTGAAAGAGCCAGCTGTTGTGGTCGGAAACAGGTAAACGAATGTCTGCTTTGAAGCTCTTTTTGTTGATCTGTAAGGAGATTGGAAACGAGTTTTCGACTTGTTCACAGCCTCGGGGGATTCACGGCATTGTCAGTTGCAGTTGGATTACCAGAGCAGGTCACAGGAGTTGCTCTTCTAAACTCTGCAGGACAATTTGCATCCGAGAGTAGGAAACGAGAGGAAGCTGATGAAACCGTGATAACCAAGTTTATAGTTAAGCCGCTTAAAGAGATCTTCCAACGCGTGGTTCTCGGGTTCTTGTTCTGGCAAGCGAAGCAGCCTTCTCGAATCGAATCTGTCTTAAAGAGTGTAATGTCTTATTGACTTTGTTAGATTTCTTGTCTCAAAAAGTTTGAAACTTTGTACTCAATTTTCTTATCGCTAAAATGCAGGTGTACATAAACACAGCTAATGTCGATGACTACCTCGTCGAATCCATCTCAAAACCTGCAACAGACCCAAATGCTGGAGAAGTATACTACAGGTACTATACAAACACCATAAAGAGCTTCTCTACTTCGATACATAAAGGAACCGAACTGATCTTGTTGTTCTTGTTAATTTCTTATAGATTGATGACAAGGTTCTTAATGAACCAAAGTAGATACACTCTAGATAGTGTTCTAAGTAAGATGACTTGTCCGCTTCTGTTACTTTGGGGAGATCTTGACCCGTGGGTTGGTCCTGCTAAAGCCGAGAAAATCAAAGCATTTTACTCGAACTCATCGCTCGTGCACTTACAAGCGGGTCATTGTCCTCATGACGAAGTCCCCGAAGCTGTAAACATAGCTTTGTTGGATTGGTTGTCCAATGTAGTTCCCAAGCCAACTTCTCCTTAAGCCATGGAGATGTAAAAGATTCTTTTTGTGAAGGAAATGTATAGTTTGTGAATACATTGTTGTTACCTTTGACAATTGCTGCTTTCTGGGCTTGTGTTGTCTGAGCTGTAGCAGAAATTATAATCAATATTTCTGATTTTAGAGCAAAAAGATTGGATCAAGCTCTGCTAAATAAAAAAAAGGAAAAAATCATTCATAACTACACGAATTATTGGTTAATACCTTGCAAACCATACCAAGTATAAAAATGTATTCTAAACTACACAAACTATTATATAATATACATGGTGACATACACCAAATATACGTAAACATGTTAAAAACTACAAATTAGTGTTTTTGGATAAATATTTATCAATTTGGGGACCAATTTGAAATTACTTTCATAAAAAAAAAAATCCAAAAAATTAAAAATTATAAAAAGAAAATCCATAAAATTTCAAAAATATAAAAAAAAAATTATTAAATTTGTAAAATCTCAAAGTTTCTAAAATTATAAAATTCAAAAACAACAAAATAATTCCAAAAAATTAAATTTACGAAAATACATAATTTGAAGGTTAATATAAATATTTAATTATATTTTCCATTTTACTTTCGGAAACGAAATTAATTACTTAAATTACCAAAATTTATAATAATACAAAATTTCAAAAAAAATTCTAAAAAAACTTTAAACAACAATTTATAGTGAAGATATAAGTTAGATTATAATTGCCATTTTTGAATTTTAAAATTAAATTAAATTTAAAATTTACTACTTAATGTTAGGAAAGTACCGAAAGCACAAGTAAAAATATTTTCCGAAGAAAAAATGTAATATATATGTCGGTTATGTATTTTATTATAAATTTATTCAATATAATTTAAACTATATTTATTGACCAATATTTTAAAAAATTGTGTTTATTTTTGTCTAACAAATTCAATGGTTTCAAAATATATAATATTGAAATTCTATATACATTACATTTAAATTACTTTTTATAGATTAATAAATTTTTGTAATTTAATTTTTTTTTTCATTTTTACAAATTTAAATTTTCTAAAAAAATGAAAATTGAAAATATAATTTTAATTTTTATCTAAAATTTAAGGGGCAATTACAAAAATACCATTTTTTGTGTGCACATTTGCAAGAATGCCACTTAGGGAATTTACAAAAATGCCACTAATTATAGATTTATAAAGCATATATCTTAAAATTCTAAACCCTAAAAAATGTTTTGACACCAAAAACCTCCTAAACACTCAAAACTAAACTCTAATAGAACATAATTAACCCAAACATAAATAATATAAAGAAAAAATAATTTTGAAAAAGTGGCATTTTTGTAAAGATTTCAAAAATGTGACATTTTTGTAAAGTGGCACTTGAAAAGTGACATTTTAAAAAATTTCTCAAAATTTAATATATCTTTTCCTTATATTTTCGAAATTTTATAAAATTTCTTTCGATTTATTAAGTTTTGTATTTTCTTAGGTTTTTGGATTAATTTTAAAAAATACCACTTTTCAAGTGCCACTTTACAAAAATGCCACACTTTTGAAATCTTTACAAAAATGCCACTTTTCAAAATTATTTTTTCTTTATATCATTTATATTTGAGTTAATTATGTTCTATTAGGGTTTAGTTATGAGGGTTTATGGGGTTTTAGGGGTCAAAACATTTTTTAAGGTTTAGAATTTTAAGATATAGGTTTTATAAATCTATAATTAGTGATATTTTTGCAAATAGACACCCCAAATGGCATTCTTACAAATATGCACATAAAAAGTGGTATTTTTGTAATTGCTCTAAAAAATTGTCTTTTTAATCAAAATTATTACAAATTGACCCTCAAATTGATAAAAATTTATCAAAAAACACCAATATATACTTGGTGTATGTCACCATGTATTATATAATAGTCTGTGTAGTTTAGAACATATTTTAATACTTGGGATGATTTGCAATATATTATCCAACACTTGGTGTAGTTAATAATGATTTCTCTATAAAAAAAAAATATAGACAACATACAATCTGATTAGGGTTCATACACTAATTAACTACAGCAATTTCCACTAGAGATCGCGTTTTTCATTCTATCAATTAGCAGAGATAGAAAACAGAATCAATGACTGGCTAGTTTGAATATAGTTGTGGAACATAGTAGGTCTTTTTTTTCATGCAAGTTCGATTTATACAAATTTATTAAAGGGTACTATTTATTCACCTAAGCAACTTTTTTTATTTTTTCTCATAAAGCTGACAAATATTTTGTCTTCTTTTATCAAAATGTAATAATAATTAGTTAGGAAAATGGTCGTATGTATATTGATTGCTGCGATTCCAAAGTGGCCAACATTAAGGACCCATCTCTTTTTTTTTTCTTTTATTCCAACATTTAAAAACTCAAGAATGGTGGATTTTTGTTTCTTTTATTCGAACGTTTCTAAACTCAAAATACATGGTAAAATTTCGTTTTTGCAACATAAGAAATTTATTTTATATAAAACTATCTGAATAAAAATATATATACTCGATTCTCTCTCAATCACTATAATCTTGTTAAATCATGAAAAATGGCATCTTCTTCCATACGGGGATTCATTATGCACAAATGTATTAGAACAAAAAATTATGATCAACTCCTTTTATTCATAGTTGGGCCGGTTTATAACAAAACTCATACACTACTTATGCTCATAAATATTCTTTGCAAATGATTGCTCTAACATTCACAATAACATATACTAGTAGTACTAGTTAGTGTTCTAGAAAATGTTGGGGCAATCATTTGTATTTGGGGAATATATTATAATTAGTTCCAACTCATATAATTAGTGTCCTCGTAAATATATCAATTACAGTAGTCGTACCAATTAGTGTGCTTTTTTCATTTATCTTCAACCTAAAGTACCTAGATTAATGTGAAAGCTAACAATAAAATTTTGAAATATCCGGTTAAATAAAATAAAAACGATGGTTTTCTGTAACAATGATAAGCGGACAACATTTAGAATCATATCTTATAGTTTTTGTATTTTCTTTTGCTTTATTTGACCTTTTTCTTAACTATTTTGTTGTATATGCATGAGTTTCAACATCTGAACATAGAAAAGGGAAATAAAACGAATACAATCTCCTTAGCATAACTTTATCATGTACTAATATAAGTTAAATATGTAGAGAAGATTACGCAAAAAGAGAAAAGTGGTGGTCCTAATTAATATTCAGATTGATCTAAATTGTAGGCTTGTACTGTGGACAAAAGTGAAGGAATCCAATCGAATTGAAAATGAAAAAAAGATGTAAAGAGATTTTAATATATAAACCAAGAAAACGAAAAAGATGAAAAATGAGATTTCAATATAAACCTAGTATTTGGTCTTTATATAGATAGATACTGTTAATCTATACGTATACATAATTATAATCATGTCCAACACGATCAGAGACAGATATTATATATGCGTGTCTCTTAAGTTAACCTAAATTTAATACTACTATTCTCAATATATGAAGTATTAAAATCTCAGCTTATTGGTCAAGATAGATGTTATTCTATATCTATACGCAGAACAAAGCATATTTGGGAAAAACTTAATTTTTATTATAGTTGTAACATGAAAAACATTAGAAATTTGAGAGAATTACAAAAATATTATTTTTGGTGTATCTATATATGTTCAAAAATATCAATATAGATTGTTTATTTTCAAAATATAACGTTCATGAAATTATGTAGAAATGAATAAGTGAATCTTGTAAGTAGGGCAAGCATGATTATCACCGCCATCATTATGTTCGGACCGTAATATATGTTTTATTAACGTATACTATGCACTTAAAATATAGACAATCTATGTTGATATTTTAAGTGCATAGTAGTATTATTGAATTAATCAACGTATGAATTCGTCTTTTATGGCCTAGGATTCAAGCATGCTTTACAGGGCACGCACTTATAAGCAAGCATGCGTATACGGGCACACGTTTCTATTTGTACATAGATAATGTTTGAATTCGAATAAACCGAACAAAATAATTTTGAATTTGGCTAGATCAAAACTAAACCCAAAAGAGTACAATACAATCAAAATTTAATTCGGTTAGTAATCTAAAGCCGATTGACTATCGAGTTTAAATATCATAAACTAGATATGAAGAAGGAATATAAAATTCTGCCACACATAGCTAACTAACATATCAATACAATAAAGAATTTATTGTCAATCGATTGTTTTGTCAATTATCTAACTAACATCATATCTTACATTCAAGTCGGATTATAATCTAGATGGGGATAGCCACGCATACCAATAAAATTGAAAAGAAAAAATACTTCACTTTTTCC